TTGTGTTTTTGTTGTTGTTTGTTTTAACAGGCACTGTATGCACAATGCGCCCTATGCTCAATGCCTACATGTTTGCGTCTGAGCTTTTTTTCATAGATTGTAAAAAACAGGTACAACAAAAAGTTAGTTGGTAATTACAATGTGGCAAACTGGCAGGTGAAGATGCGTATAAATTTTTTGCTCCAATCGAATTCCACGAGCATCATTCACATTCATGTGCATTATGACGTTAATATCGCATGGGTGAGTGTCTCTTTGTGAGCATCTATCATAGCTGTTGATTTGTCTTGTAATGCATTAAAAAGTACCAGATTTGCAATTACATACGTACATATTTTTACATATATTTTTTTCAACATTTACCGATTAGCTGTAGTTGATATAAAACGCAAAAACTCTCAATCAACAGCCCACATAAACAATTATTTTTATGTACAGAGTTTTGTGTAATACAAGTTTTGCATTATTCTTTGTCTTGCGACCCACACATTGTTGTGAAACCTGAAATGAATGAACAGCAAAAGATCTCAAAACAATTGTTTTTTCTTTCTTGTAGCTGTCCCCTTTCTGGTAATGGATAGTATCATAACTCTTTGAGTGGCCTTCACATTGAAATGTCAATAACATTTGAACTATGATTTATAATCAGTTTATATACTTGGCTAATTTATGTTCAACATTTTGTATCTTTTTACAGTTAATGCTGCATGGACTTATGACAGATCTAAAAGATAACGCCTTCGACTGAGAGATGTAAGTAGAGCTCCAATGCGATTTATAAACCACGTCCCACGTGCATATTCTGCCTGCGAAACCATTTTGCAGCATTAGCCTTGTAAATGTATGCAAATTGTTATTAAATTTGCAAAACAACTTTGTATGACCCGAATCCGAGTTGGTAAATGGAACAGCCGTCTGCGCCCCCTCAGCACAAATACCAGAACCCAGAACCCAAGCGGCATTGTGTGCAGGCGGCATAAATTTTATTTAAATGTAGGTGCACGGGGCACATAATATCATGTATCCATCCCCACACCGGAAATTGAAGCGAGAAACTTTTATAGAAAACACAGCGGCACTCGACAACTGCTGTGCAAATGATGTCAGCAATTTTATAAGGATATATGACATGGAGTAAATGTGGCAGCCGCCTCTGCTCTAAAAATGAGGATGCTGCAAATTGAAGGGTTGAGCAGCGCTCGTTCATGATGTCATTTTGCGGGCAGCCAATAGCTCAGTAAATTGATTTTGCATATAATTCGATTTCTATAATATCCCAGTACACTCAGAATCAATTAAAATGCCATTTAAAAGTATATGTATATATATAGTGAAGTGCTCACTCGTCCGCAGATACTCTATCTCTCTCGCTCTCCGTCACTTTTATGCTCAGGCTGCCAAATGTTTGGCTATTGGCTGCTTTGACCCAATTTTCCTTGTGTCTAAGAATAGAGAATTTTTAAATACAACTTTTTTTTCAACATATACATATAAATACACATTTTGCTTGACTTTTTTAATGTACTTTTGCCTCAAGATACCACCGTACGAAATATTTTGCGTAAACTTTTAAAAGTTTATTTGACAACATTTTCTGTTAGGAAACTTTGGGCGTAAATTTGTAAAAAGTCGAAAAAGCTTAGTGCCTTTTATTCGTTAACTAATCAAAAACCATTTTAGGCAACAAAATTTCAATTTTAGTTTCCTCTAATTATATCTGATTTATTTGTTAATGTCTGCTGCTGTCAAATGAGATACATCAAGAAATTTATAACAATGGGCAAATATTTGGCTCGCCACCAAAAAAGGCGACGAGTTTCATCAAATCAAAATTTGTTTACATTAAAATTTATTTTCTCTAGTTTTTCGCTGTCATCTCGTTTATAACAAAAAAACGATTTTAATGCAACGTGAAAAGTGCTGTCATGTCAAAAAGTTTTTCCTATCGTGAATACCCCTTATGTAAATACATTTATATACTGATACATACCCTCTGCCGTCAGCTGCGTTTCCGCATTGTTTCTGGGATCTGGTCAGGCTTTGTTGTTTTGTTTTTTATTTTTTGTTTTGTCATAAATCAATTTGTTGCAATTTGAACATATTTGCGATACATTGCCGTCCACTTGGCGCAATTGGGTGCCAAAATTAGAAAACATTTGGCGCAAACAAACGCCAACATGCGAATAACTCAATCAAGCGTTCGCATGAATGCTTTTAGGGAGCCGAGAACTACACTTAAAAGTGCGAATAAACCAAAAGTTGAACATTAATACATTTCGCCACCAATGATAGAAGTGGGTCCTAGCCTGTATTAGTAGGGCTCTAAGAACTGCCTCTGCTATGTTTCGTCATAAACTATAGAAGGGAATCTTTGTTCTGCTTCTATAGCAGCTCTTGGGAGATGTCAGACACTGGATAAACAACAATAGCAATAAGTATTGAAACTAACTTCACAAACGTTGCTTTAATTTATAAAAGATATACAGATTTGCGCTAAGAACTTGTTTTTTTACAGCAATTGCGACTTATTCCTACTGCAGCTGTCACTTTTGTTTTGTGTTTTTGGATTTTATCTTAATAGTATCAAATCCAGCTCCATAAATTTCGCTTTAAATTACTTTCTGAAAGTACAACTATATTTTTATAATAAATACCTGCCAGTATTAGATGTATTTGTTTTTCTTTTGGATTCACAGCTGCCGTTTGTTATATGTTTCCATTTGTTTAGCTACAGTATAAAGCTCTTCACGTATTTCTCACATATTTCAAACGATATTTCCAATCTTATAAATTAAACGAAAAGAAATATGTATGTTAATTACGTGACTCACATATGAAAATGCAGTTCGAGTTGTGTTTGCATTTATGACTTTTTGACTAAGTTAGAAAGTATCTCGAACTCTGTTCCGTCACTTTCTTATCGGCGTTGTGTGTTCTGCGTTTATAAATCACGTTATCTGTTGCTGCAGCGTTTGAGTGTTGATTATGAAAACATTTGTATTACGCGTTGTTTTTTGTTTCATAGATACAATATCTATAAACCTATAATTAAAGTTCACTTTTCGCCTTATATGTCATTAATTTACCTTGTTGTTGAATTCTCATTGTTTTTGTTTACTTGCAAGTGGGGAAGTGTGCGTAGATAGATACTCATTGTGTGAATAAATTTATCTGTATCAATATGTGAATACGCTCTTTTATTCACAAATGCTTAAAAAATGCCCGACAGCCTCGGAGATGTTTCATTAATGAGCGGGCGGCTTTTGAGTGCGCAACGAATCGAAAGAAATTGTGTATAAAAATATTGTGAAAATAAATTGTGAAAAGTTGAGCCAGCGACACAAGACATTTGACAAGCGTCAAAAAGAAAAATAAACAAGCAAATTCGTACAGGTAATCAGACAATTTGAAAAATTGACAACAAAAAACAGCAGCAAACCAAACAATCCGAAAATTTAATGTTGCGCACAAAATTTGTATTTTTAATAATTATGAAATTTGCTGGCTATTGGCCAATTCGGTTTCTGTACTCTCTAGAGAAATGGCTCGTTTAATTCATAGAACCTTGATCTTGTCCGGCAGCCATGTGCAACACGTCATATTTCATAATCTCTAATCTCTCGATTACATTTATTCTTTTTGCCATGACGTGTGCTTAGAAAAGATACAACCCTCCAACACCTTGCAGTTTGCATAGCAGGATGACTCATTCGGGCTGTATGGAAATAAGTGTAGACGAGTATCCCTTATATTTTCATTTGAAGTCTTGCCCTAGCGACCGCCACGTGCCGTGCTTAGCAATTCCTCAGTCTTCCTGCCTCAACAAACAAGGCATTACGCCGGTTAACCAGATGAGCAAAATCGATAAGCATTTAACTTTCTCACTACTTTCCACTTTAACTTCCATGTTGTTCATGTTTAATTTCGTATGTTGAGCCACCCAGCTCAACGTTCTGCCCGCGAGTGACATAATATGCTGTGCCCAATGTGTCACACGCCGCCTTTATTGGGGCAACTCGACAAACTGAAAGGGACAGAAGAGAAGGAATAAAAAAAACGAGACAGCAAGAGAAAGGGACATCAAGCGTCAGAATGTCGCCAACCCCAACTCTGTAGGTGGTCCTATATATAATACATATAGCTTCAGCGGGCATTTTTAGCCTGGCAAACGTTTAATCAAATCTTCTATTTTATATATAGATATTCACATCAAAGTTTATATAGAGTTAAATGGATAAGCATTATAAAAGTTTCTTACGAATTTACGTAAAAGTCAACCAAATTAAAGGGAATAAAATACTATTTCTCCAAAAGAAAACCGTTTAGGTTTTTCTTAACATAATTACCAGTAGTATTTACCAGAAATATTTAACTACACATATCTAGATTTTAGGGTAATATTGGTTTTAGAAAAGTTTAATTTTCGTGATTGTTCTCTTATTATACTATATTTGCAGTTGGGATTCGTTTTTTTTATAAACGAGATAACGAGAGATATAAAACATTTGTGTTTTGTTAAGAGGTATTTTAGTGTCGGGTGTTTAACTAAAGTTCTTGTTGCTTGTTGTTCCTTGACGAGCTTTGGCATGGACGCTTGACTCCGAGCAGTGTGCGTTTGCTTTTTATGGCTTTCTTGGCGCCAATCGAATGTGTTCCCAATGTGCAACTTAAATAGACGATGAGAGAAGAGAAATCGGAAATAATATCCTTAGCACAATTTGTCTATGGTAGGGTTAAACGTATTACATGTTTAACAAAATGAAAAACAGTTAAAAGGCATTCCTTTTGTAAGCTAACTAATAGAATAGTAATACAATAGAATGCCCGGGCTAAGTATGTTAGTACGGAAATTGAAGAAAAGGAAGTCCTGTTTGTCGTTTTCTATTGTGCATTCGTCTTTTGTTTGCTAGAGTTGTCTTTTTGTAGAGTTCTTAAGAATTGTGTTAAGCTTTTGCCTGAGTTGTCAAATATTTTCGTCGATTTCTTTTATTTGTTTTTATAGTTCAGATTGTTATATACCTTAGAACTAGCGAGAACATACAAATAATTTTATAAAAATATTTCGATTTCTTTTTGATCGCTAGCCAAAGCATCGTCGAGCGTAAATTTCTTGTACATATTTATTAGTTAAAGCCAAAAAATATTTATTCGCTATGAATCCATCGAACTTGGGCAAACAGAATGGAGCTTTAGTATTGGAGGTACTCCAGGTGCTTGGGCGGCCGGCCACCATTGAGGAGGTATCTCAGCGTGTGGCCAATATATATAAAGTGGCCCGTAAACGTATTCAGCCTGTTGTTGGTGATATTCTTGCGGCTGGTGTGCATCAGGGTTTCTTTAGCTGCCGAAACTATCAGTACTCAATTGTCCAGCTAACTATTGATCAGTTGCGCCAAGATATCGATAAGTATGTGGATGAAATGCTATCACTGGACTGTCGAGATGAGGAAGTGCTGCCGCAGCCATCTCCGCTGATGATTAAGCTGGAGCAATTGGACGGATCGCCGCCAATATCGCCGCCATTCGTGCTATCGCCTTCACCTTCATCTGGGGAGCTGCGCGAGCGTACGCCCCCTGGAGATGCATCATCGGCAGTTGCCACATATTGATTGACACTCTGATTGACACTGCTGCCCTTTTGACTAGCTTTTTCAATGTATTTCTCAAGATATCTGTTTTTAAGTGTAAATTTGACAGCACATGGGAAAACCTACACAAGTGCAGTGGAGTTCAGTCCAGTGCAATAAACTCTCGACCAGGGCAGTCCAGTATACCCATCTAACAATGCGATTATTTCTCGGCTCATTTAATTTACAAAAAGCGGGGTAACGAGCAGCCAGTACCCGGTGGCAGTATTGCCTGCGGCTTCAGTTCCTTTGTTGTTCCTGTTGTTTTTTTTCTTTTCTCTTTTTTTTTTTTTTTTTTTGTTGTATTATAGCTACTCATTTGTGCGCCAGCTTGTGAGATTCCAACGTTCTCTGGATTCCACATTCCTTGCAAACAAAGGCCAAGTTTTGCCCTGTCTCGTGGCTTACTTTTCATTTTTATTGCAACGCTTTGAAGTTCATTTTCATAAGCCCCAACTATATGATGTATACATGCACAGAGTGTGCATATAGTATATCGTATGCTTTGTCGGAGCACTTAACAGTCTGTTCCTTGGACCCATTGTCAGGTTGTTGCACGTCTAGCGCCCACGCCAAGGTTCAAGTCTGTGCCACAAAACTTTAGCTTTTCAGTGGCACATTTCCCTATTGGCTTCAGCGTTTTGTCTTCTCTGGTTGTCAATGTTGTCCGCTTTGAAATGGCAACGCAATTTTCCTTTCACTCCTTTGTTCTTCCGATACCACATCCAATCCAATCTACACAAATCTGAGCAGCCTTTCCTGGTGCCGCCTCTGGCATTTGCATGAGTAATCGTCGCCTGACTGCCCACTTTATGCGCTTCTTTAATTTTGATTTATTTTTGCTTTTAATTTAATTAATTGAAGCACGATGTTGCGACGAAATCTGCCTTGTTCCAATCACGAGGAACCAAATTGTTGTCAACGACAACGCCTGAAAGGGATTTGCTATTTTCTAGGAATCCCTTTAAATGCTTGGACGTGGTCTGTATATAGCAATGTGATAATTAAGCATGCAAAGCAGTTTCAAACCCCTTTCAGTTATCAGTTATTGATTAATAATTGACAAAGTACCTATATTTCACATAATATATTCCTTCTGGTTATGCACTCAACATTTAATCCAATTATAACTTTGATAAAGGGTTTGTCCACAAAGCAACGAGGAGAAATTTTCAGGTTAACGTTGCGAGTGCTCTACTAAACGCTACCCTGTATTCAGATGTCAAGTAATGGAAATAAGGACTGGCATTCGCTATCAATCAATGTATTTTGAGCTCGATTTGTTTCTTTACATCGAACCGAACCCTGAACACCAGGCTCATGAATAGTCTCTAAAAGCAAGGCAAGGATTTACGGCCATAATTTCCATAATACACTATTTAAAATATGTGTTAATATGCAATATTTGATGTTTTGTTGAAAATATTGAATAGTAATGAGGTAGTAAAGCTACGAAAGCTTAGAAACCAACTTGGTATGCAGGCACTCAATTTGCGATAAATAGCTTTTGCAGTTGGTACTAAAAATACAAAGTGTTCCAATATATACAGGGTGCTTTAATGCTTGAAATCAGTCACATTTGTTTTGTTTGATTTGCAGTATGCCCTGGACAATTATTCAAATATAATTCTTTTAATTATATAGGTATTATTGCACATAGACTCAAAGACAACGAACTAACTAAGCAACGAACTAACTAATATCTTTAGTGCGAGTGATTCTGTTCAGCCATACGAGAAATCGGATAGTTCACACTGTTATATAGGAAAGTACTATATATAGGAAGTGAACAAAACGCACTCTCACTCTCTGTTCAAGCTCAACTTGGTGAACCCGCGCGAAAAGCTTTTCTTGGGTCGTTGACATTAGCTCATAAGCTGAGGAGACGATTGTAAACATGATTTTTAAATTTTTATTTTTTTTTTGTCATAAATTAATGAAATTGTGGTAGCGAGATGGCAAAAATAATTAAAGGCACAGAGACAACGAAAGAGCGCTGAGGTGAATGCTGAATGCATAGATATTTTGTAAATAACTATATAAGGGGTTTATTTATTTATTATTTAGGCAAAATCTGCGTTTAATTAGATGAATTCGAAAATTTCAATTCAGCATAAAATGTCACTCGTTTTTGGCTAATCAAAATTTGTATTTCTTCTATTTGTAGCATGAGCCGCCAGCATCAGCGGCACCACCAGCAGCAGCTGCAGCAACAACAGCAGCAGCAGCAACAACAACAGCAACGGCTGCTGACGGCACAACAGCAGCAACAACAGGCGCTGCTGATGGCAGAACATGCCGCTGCCGCGGAGGCCGCCGAGCTGTTCGATCTGCTCTGTGTGGCAACCACAATGCGCCAAATATTGGCCCTGCATCGAGCCATGTGCGAGGCGGTGGGGCTGCGTCCATCGCCGTTGAACGATTTCTACCCGAAGCTCAAGGCCAAGGTGCGATCGTGGAAGGCGCAGGCGCTGTGGAAAAAATTCGATGCACGTGCCGCACATCGTGTCTATGGCAAGGGCAATGCCTGTACTGGCACCCGTGTCCTGGTCATTGGCGCCGGGCCCTGTGGTCTGCGCACGGCCATTGAGGCGCAACTGCTGGGTGCCAAGGTGGTGGTGCTGGAGAAGCGCGATCGTATAACTCGCAACAATGTGCTGCATCTGTGGCCGTTTGTCATCACGGATCTGAGGAATCTAGGTGCCAAGAAGTTCTATGGCAAGTTCTGTGCGGGTTCCATTGACCACATATCCATCAGGCAGTTGCAGTGCATGCTTCTCAAAGTGGCTCTGCTGCTGGGAGTTGAGATACACGAGGGTGTCGGTTTCGATCATCCCTTGGAGCCGAGCGGCGATGGCACCGGTTGGCATGCAGCGGTCACACCAGCGGATCATGCGGTGTCAAACTATGAATTCGATGTACTGATCGGCGCCGATGGCAAGCGTAATATGCTTGATTTTAGACGCAAGGAGTTTCGCGGAAAGCTGGCCATTGCCATAACGGCCAATTTTATCAACAAAAAGACCGAGGCGGAAGCCAAGGTGGAGGAGATAAGCGGCGTGGCCTTTATATTCAATCAGGCCTTCTTCAAAGAGCTGTACAGTCGAACGGGCATTGATCTCGAGAACATTGTCTACTACAAGGATGAGACGCATTATTTTGTGATGACCGCCAAAAAGCACAGCTTGATCGATAAGGGTGTCATTATTGAGGATATGGCCGATCCCGCCGAGCTGTTAGCGCCCGCCAATGTGGACACCCAGAAGCTCCACGACTACGCACGCGAGGCTGCCGAATTCTCCACCCAATATCAAATGCCCAATCTGGAGTTTGCTGTGAATCATTATGGTAAGCCGGATGTGGCCATGTTTGATTTTACCTCTATGTTTGCTGCCGAGATGTCCTGCCGTGCTCTGGTACGTAAGGGCTGCCGACTACTTCAGTGCCTCGTGGGTGACAGTCTGCTGGAGCCTTTCTGGCCCACTGGATCAGGCTGCGCTCGTGGTTTTCTGTCTAGCATGGATGCTGCATATGCCATCAAGCTGTGGTCAAATCCGCAGAACAGCACTTTAGGCGTTCTGGCACAGCGTGAAAGCATCTATCGATTACTTAATCAGACCACACCGGATACTCTGCAACGTGATATCAGCGCCTACACTGTGGATCCGGCCACACGATATCCGAACCTCAATCGCGAATCAGTGAATAGCTGGCAAGTAAAGCATCTTATTGACACCGATGATCCCTCAATACTGGAGCAGACTTTTATGGACACGCACGCGATCCAATTGCCACATGTCGAGACGCCGGGAAGACGCAAGCGTCGCAGTGGAGGTTAGTTTATATAGACAACACTGTATAGCTGAAATCTATCTGTATGATACTTTACAGATACCCTTCCACAAGGCGCCACTTTGCTACGCTGGATAAGCGCACAGCTGGCTGCCTTTCAGTTTGCCGCTGATCTCAAGGAGCCCTCGGATGTGTTTCGCAATGGCCGTGTGCTGTGCGCACTAATCAATCGGTGAGCGGAAGCTTTGTGTTATTAAGCTCCTACTCATTTATGCACTTTAAATCTCTTTAGCTATCGACCCGATCTTATTGATTATGCTGCCACCAAGGACATGAGTCCGCTGGAGTGCAATGAGCTGGCTTTTGCCGTGCTGGAACGTGAGCTGCACATTGATCGTGTTATGAGTGCCAAGCAATCTCTGGAACTGACCGATGTTGAGTCGCGTATCTGGCTCAACTACATGGACCAAATCTGTGAGCTGTTTCGCGGCGAGATACCACACATTAAGCATCCCAAGATGGACTTTAGTGACCTGCGTCAAAAGTATCGCATCAATCATACGCACGCCCCGCCGGACTTCTCCAAGCTGCTGCAGACAAAGGCCAAGGCCAAGTCGCCCATGCAAGATGCCGTCGATGTACCCACAACAGTGCAGCGACGCTCAGTGCTGGAGGAGGAGCGCGCCAAGCGACAACGCCGCCACGAGCAGCTCTTGAACAGTGGCGGCGTGGCCGCTGGCGCCGCTGCAGCCAGCAGCGCGGGTAGCAGCAATTTGCAACAGGGTGTGTTAAAAATAACGATAATACAGCAAAAAGCCAAATCTAGAACAAGTGCGCCGCCCAAGCTGCCACTCTAAATTGTATTATCCCAATAAAAATCCATTTACTTTGTACTCATATATCATATATATCATATAGAGCATCTTAAGAGCTAGAGATCATTCAGTCTGGTCAACCACTTCGTCAAAGAGTCCTTAATTAATAGGTATTATTTCACTTCTTTGTGAGCTAGACATCATGTTAGTTTTAGTCTGTCTGATTGTTCTGACTATCTGCTATATGATTAAATAAAAAAACAGATACATAGATATGCGAATACATGATATTATATACATATACATAAATAACATGAAATAATGTAGATATTGAGATATGTCAAAATATAGGTTTTTCAGACCCTAAAATTAGAAATACTTACAGATCCCCCGATATGAAAATTACATATGCTCACTTATGGCACATTAAAATAAGAAAAACCTTAACTGATTTTCGAGTACATCTCATTTGTAGCTCAAATAGGTTTTCTCAACATACAGTCTCTTTGTTTTCACTTTTAGTGGGCAGCTGGTTCAC